GGGCCGGAGGGAAGAACGCGGACGGACGCATATCTCGCAATCTGTCTCGCTCCCATCTCTTTGTCGCAGGTTTTCTTGTCAGAAGGTGAATGATGACCATGACGAATTCGTTGATGCGGCCAATTGCGCAGATCTTTTCGCGGTACTGACGACGCCTGCAAGGGGCGAATGCCCTGACAGACATCGGCAGGAGCTGTCTCACAGCGATGGCAGTACAGGTAGTGCAAACTGTAGCTTTGGCGAGACTCGTTTCTGTCCGTCGGGTAAGAGAGGCCAGCCATGTGGCTGACAGAGCAATTGCCTTCTCCTCAATCAAATGGCTATTCCGAATAAGACGCTCCTCGTACATACTATATTAGTCTCAATTCGACGTGACATTGCGCAAGAACAGAAACAAACTCCATCTAGAGGGGGCAGATAGACGATGATCGACGAGGTCCCGGTCCCAGGTCCCGGTTGGCGCCGTAGAGTGGTTGTCGTTCACATGATAATTTGTTTATAGAGAAGTGTCAAGAGGACGAGTGCAGACAATTAGTCAGTTATCTGTTCGGAGGCCGATCCATCTGGACACCAGCAGGTCTTTCCACCCTCTTCATCTGCTGTCATCTCTGCACTCGGCCGGCTCCATCTACCTTCGCTCAGAAGATTGATGTGTCGTAGTAAATACTCGTCTCTTATCTCCTCTGCGAGTCGGCATCCTTTGTAATGAGAAGACGACCATCTCCCGTCATCAAAACATGACACCATTGAGATTCCTCTCAAAAAAACTTCTGTTTGACCTCGGAGAACCGCACATTTTACACCTAAGAATGAGTTCCTCCATTAGCAGTAGAGCCCACATTTTTTTAAGGTCAGCGAGAAAAACGCTCTCTATTCGAGAGTATGATCACTAGCCGGTTCGACGGCAAGCACACATCTTTCAATTCATCAGTTCAGTTGGAGCGATCGGAATGCTTCGGGACGTCAACAGTCGATGGGAGAAGAAATGATGAACTATCCATACGAAGATGATTGATGACACTCCACTCTCACGATTGATCGAACAGCCTTCTGAAAATTGCGACACTTGCAGACAGAGCGACGGGGTGGCGGGGCGGGTAAACGAGTAGATTCTGATGTAGCAGGGGTAAAAGTCAGACTATGATTGAATACCATTTTATCTGCACAGTCATGTTTGCCCTCAACGTCTGCATGCATAACCAAAGTGTATTACACCCAAACAGAAGTGCACCTGATCAAAAGGGGGGGGGAATGGTCGCACGGGACATGGCGAGCTGGTGGCGTTCAAAACCATTTGAGGCAGTTGGCACGATATCTCCCTAAGACGAGTAGATTAACACACCTGTCAAAACGGAATTCCGCTCACTGAGCAGGCGCTGCGTAGCGCCTTTTCCAAGGAAGGTACCTCTATAAGGCCCTATCAAGCTACAACATACCGACCTGAACGCTCACCGTGCCCGCCAAATGAAACCAAAGGATTGACAAAGCGGCCGCGGTGCTGCAGAGGATACATACAGCCGTATTTACTGTAGTGGTCATTGGCAAGATGCCTATGGGAAACTCGTCCGAAATTGCTTTTTTAGTCGCTGGGAGCGAAGGTCTTTCTTCGCAGATTTTGACCGTTTCACTTCGTTTTTGCCATTTTCCCCACTAGACAGCACCCCTGCTACCATTTTAGACCGAGTACCAAATTATCGTGCCATATGCCTTTAATGGAACAAACTCGGTTACAGACCCCTCATATGTTCAAAGTAGTTATGCCGACATCTTGAAGCGCTTCGTTTAGTTCAAAAACTGCCGTGACGAGGCGGTTGCGCAATAGTCGTGAACACAAAGGCCGATAACAGGGGTTTAACGATGCTCGTTATGCAATGTCAGACGAACCGTGGAGGAGCTCCCGTTGGCGTGAAGGGGTCGCGGTCGTCACTAAAGAGACCATTGGAGCTGAAGGGTGAATACGATCTGGAAGCGATTGCGTCCGGTTGATTGATCGGACACAGCTTTTAGGTATTAATGACAATCCACAAATCATCGCGCAGGACGTGGGACTCGTGTAGCGAGTACGCATAAACATGAGACCCAGACACAAGATGACGCAGCGAGCGCGTACGGGAAGGAGAGCGACGAGGAGTGATTGACAGGTGGTGATGGATTACATGTGTCAGATAAAAGATGCGTTTGAACTGCCGCCATTCGGCCGTCAATCAAGCAGCGACTGTCTTTACAGTAATTGTTGGCGAAGTGACAAGGGAAGATGGACGCCGTCACACACGGCTGAATGCCACAGCCTCTTCGGGGCCATGGCACCTGAAGTGAGGCTGCACAAAAACTGACATTCCTTCCTCAGACATCATATGAGTATGCCAGTATAATTCCATGGTAAACTGATGCAAGCATGGTTAGTTCAGGGAACCATATAGCACCCCTGCAATCATTTTAGACCGATTTGGTACTTGGTCTAAAATAGTATCACGGGGCTATATAGTGGGAAAATGGCGAAAAATCCAAGTGGAACGGTCAAAAACTGCTGTCAAATATCCTTTGCTCTTACGTGACTCCGAAAGCAGTTTCGGACGAATTTTCCGTTGGCATCGTGCCAATCACCGCTACGGTAGATACAGCTTTATATGTGTACTCATACGTCCATGCAGCACCCGCAGCCGCTTCATATGAATCCCTTCGCTTCATAATATTTGTAAGCTTCGCAAATTGAACTGTACGAGCATCGGCGTCGGTCGGACATTTTTGGGCGTGAGGGAGCGGTGGGGATAGGGTCGGTATATTGCAGTTGATAGGGCACTATAAGGGCCTTCTCCTTGGAAAAGTCGCCACACAGCGCCTGCTCAGGGGCGCCGAATTCTATCCTACTAATCAAATAAATCCTACACGTCTTGGGGATTTATCGTGCTACTTACATTAATTATTCGAACAAAACACTAATGGCAATTTCGAGGACTTCAGGTAGCAGAACGTGGCTGGGCAGATCGGTATGGAGGAAACCAGGGAAGTTGGCTGGTAAATTCTACAAAGAGTAATTCTCCCCTCTGAAGAGGCAGGACACGCGCCTGCAGTTGGGGTAATTTTCAAAAAAATAACTGATGCGCCTCTGCCCTCACTCCCTTCACACCGCGATTCTCTCCTGATACACGCCTCTAGGACCCCTTCCTCCCACCTTCATTTTAAACTTCCACTTGCGCTACGCACTCGGCTTTTCCGCTTAAACCGAAAAGTTTTTTCCCGGGAATTTTCTAATTTTTCTCGAGATCTTGCGGTCGAGCAGGGGTGGGCGCTAACCACGCGGAACCAGAAAAGCTGCGAAAAATCAGCAACCGGGACAATTTTTTCTAACGCGGCAAGTTTCTTCGAAGGCAAATTCCCCCTATATAGCGTCCGTGAAACAAGGAAAATCAACTATCAAAAAATTCTTCTCCGATCTCAGATGGGGTCCCCTCCCCCTGACGAGCAAATACAGCCCCCCCTCTGGGGATCCCCTAACGGATGACAAGGTCAGCTTGAAGAATCTCATATTACTATAAAGGTTTCCCTTCTTCCCTTTCGCATGGGTGGCCTCTCGTGCCCAATGTCTTGACCTTCACAGACTCGTGAAGTACATGGGAGTACCATCATCGCTTGATTGAAAGCCACCATCATTGGCGACAATATATTTGTAACGCTTTGACAGCATAATTCTATGCTTTTGATGCTTTCCCTAGGCGATAAAATATCCCATCAGATCTCCATGAAGCGTCCAGACGACAATGGGTGGCTTTCAATCAAGCGTCGTGAAGGAAAATTCCGGATTCGTAAACGACCCATTCTCTATTTATTGTTCAACTTCTCTCCCATTTGTCATAAATAATTCCATGTGAGAAGTAATTCAATTTAATTTATAGAACGGGCAGCAAAGGAAGGCAGTTCTATGACTACGGCTGCCAGCCGTTTTTACCCTTGTACAGTGGTTAGCTTTGCTAGATTTTTATGCTCTGTGGGCCTCTCCACTTGTGGAAGAAGTCTGTGGGACTGCTCTGCCCTTCTGTGGGATAGACTTCGTTCATGGGAGAGCCGGCCCCAACTGCGTAATCCCCACGTTCTCGGAAGCAAGTCAAAACTCATTACAGTCATGATAGGATTACAGACACCTGGAAAAAGGATAGGATTAGTGGTGATTCTCTGTCTGTCTTGGCCATATTCGCTTTAGTGATGAGAGAGGGCAGTGGAGCGGTGATTTCAGGCATCAATTGCGCTAATTAGCAAAGGCGAGAAGGCGATTAATGAGATAAGAGGAGTCATTAACGGCTGATGGAGCATGCAAAGCTGATTGTGAAAGCCTTTGTCGCCTGCGCCTATAGCAAATTGACACCTCTTAAGCGTCCCTCAAGTACTCGGCCTCTTCTTGTCCCTGTCTTGCTGTTGTGTTGGTGACTTTGACGGGGTCCGCTGCTGGATGATGGTGAGGATGAGGAATTGCTGGTGGTAGTGGTGGTGGTGGTTTGAATGTGCGGGATGATCGTCAATCATACGCGTCCGACATTCGTCACGAGCGCACTGACAAAAACCTCTTGAACGAGAGCACAAATACTCACAAACGACCCCTCCAATCACAATAAATCTTCTTCATAAACTCCCTCAACTCCATCATCGAGCACTTTACCCCTGAGCACCATTGAAACCTCCCTTTACCCCTCAAAAACCCATGTACAACCGTTGAATGAATCACCAAGCATCACTCAATAATATCGTCGTCATTATGGATGGGGCTGTACTGATAAGGGTTTTATCAGCGGCTGATGACCTCGTTGCTTACATTAACGACTTCGTCAAACACTATCTTTTATAACATCTGCATATAACAATAAACGAACTCGTAACATCATTTGAAACTGTAAAATACAAATAAAAACACATTGAATGAGAGAGAGAGCACTAACGGCACCTGTCAAAGAACCCGTATAGAGTGTAGAATTATACAAAAAAGACGGAAAAAATAGGAACTGAATGATTCAAGGATGAGGCATGCTAGACATGATGCGTTGAGCGTACATCGCTTGCAAAGCTGATGGGAACGGCATCATGGGAGGCATGGGAAGTGTGTTTGGTTTGGAATAGGGATGAAAACGAGGTAGACTATTACGGCTTAAGGGCGTTTTTGAGACTTCAGGAGCAGCCGACGAGGCACTTGATGGTGGTGACGGTGTGTGCAGTTGCTTGACATGCGCGGCAAGTTCGTCAGCGGAGGCGAACTGCTTGCCACATATGCCGGTCGACTCGACCCATGAGCACATGTGCTTGGCCTGAGGCGACGATTTTGACTGCATCGTCGCTGACGCTCCAGAAGTTGATGGAATCGCCGATACCGATGGACCACCAGATGACGCCAACAGAGTCTGGTAGGAGGCTGGCAGCATCGATGCACTAAACATGAAAACTTTTAATTCTCAATGCTCAAAAAGAGGAAAAGCCTGAGGCGGCAAAGTCTCCAGAAAGGGGAGAAGTGCAGAAAGAAGAAGAAGGAAAATTTACCTGGAAACGGAGGGCATCATCGAGGAGTAGGTGGAGAAGAGTGGATGTGCAGCAAATGACGAGAGCATATCCGGTGAACATGAGGTGCATCCAGGAGTAACGCACGGTCGTTGCATAAGCATCGACGGACATGGTGGACGAGCCATTGAGAATGGCATCGGAAACGATGGGAACGACATCGACATCGCGTATGGCATCATATGATAGGGAAACGGGAATGCGAGACCGGGTGAGAATCCCATTGGGAACGTCGGCTTCGGAAGGCCCGGAAACGTCGTCGAAGTGACCGGTTCGATACGTGTAGCTGTGGGCGTCGCCCGTGGTGACCTTTCCTTCTTCCGGTCAGATGGGCTTTCCGCTTTCTTCACATCGTCTTTCTTCTCTGACGGACTTTTCTTCGACGGTGTGTCCGGCAAGCCAATTGTCTCGCAAGTCTTAGCCAACATTGCTAGCGGACTTTTACCGGGTTCAGCCTAAAAAACATTGAATAAGTCAAAAGAGAATACTTCATCGAGCATGATGAGGGAAAAGCTGTAGGTCACACTTCATTAACGTGTGCATCGACGGCTTTTCTGCCACAACTCTAACAATAGAAAGGTAATCAGTTTATAGTAAGTAAAAACAACTAACACTAGATGTAGGTGTGAAGTCGGTGATGTATTGAGAGTGAGTGGATACCATGTCAGCAGGCAAGAATGCGTGCGAGTGACAGGCTGAAGAGGCGGCCCATGTCGGCACATCAAAGGCCGTCGTACAGGCGGAGCTCGTTGCTTTTGACCAATCATCGAGCGCGACATGGGCGGACCTCTAGCAAACGCCCAATCCGCAGAAGAATGATGGACCGCGTCGGAAACATATATCAAGAAATTTATGATCTGTCAATCGGCAATCACCGCGAGAGCATAGCGCCAGTGGAGGGTGGGGACCGATGAGACGACGGATTGAACGTTAGGGAACTGGAGAAGACAGAGTGATGCATGGGTGGGGGGACGTGTTAGTAGCAAGACGGTACTTGGCAGAGTGATTGAGTGCATTGTTTGTGGAAGATGAAAGAAGTGAAGCAGCGTACAATACACATACAAGGAGAGATGGTGTCTGTGTATGGGAGGGCAGACCATACCGACGTCATCTTCAGTTGTTGATCTCTTCGGGAGCGCATCAGTTCAATGCGAAATAGACCTATAAACAGTTTATGGGGAAAAATGGCCGCTAAACCACCCAATAAACATTGATGTAACCTTCTGGAACATGGGAAGAATGTCTTCGAATAGCCCTATTCTTTATGATAGAGAAGTAGAGTCAGTAAGTTCTGATTTCTTTGCTAGAAAGCCACCACTTGAAACACTGGCTTTGAATCTGCACTGTATAGGAACCAGTCATGGCTTTCTGGAAAGTGAATGATAAATCGTTTTGATGAATTTTTTTCATTGCCATGTTGGACTCGTTTTCTTGACAGGAGCGAACAGTTCAATCACGCACTGCAATAATGATTTAGAAGACGGGTTCTTTAGCAGCTGTTAAGGATAGCGTCAAGCCACGTCAATCACTTCTGGAAACTGCCATCAACACCTTGGAGTCCGACTATGTGGGGTCAGTGTAGTGCGGTATTCCGTTGAGAATCATCTACAGTCCCCCACAGGTGACCGTATACGACTTGGCTGATGCGTATGTGTACGTAAGGGGTGATGAGAGATGTCTGCGCTCTCTGTGTCTCTTTGTTCTTCTGGCGCGCTGTCACTGTTCATCCATCTTGATCAAATGTGCCGCTCTGTGATTTCTATCGTTTCTTACAGGCTGTCTGTCATACATCAACAGACGCGCTGCCCCGCTCTTTTCACCCAACACCCCCTGAACACTGGCCGGTCGAACCGATGACGACGTCAACCTGTGCGCAATGAAAACCTTTGCCCTTCTCAGAACCTCTCAAAGGGGCTTCCAGTCGGTGCCATTGAAGACAAGCATTATGATCGGCTGCAGCTTCTCATCGGCTAGCGGCAGCACATGTTCAGTGAGAAGCTAGTTGATGACTCGGAGTTGGTTGTGGAGAGTGATAAATCACCACTGGAAGCTGGGCAATCCTCGCAGGACCCGTTTATTAGATGTCAAATGGTATGCGGAATGACATGCGATTCCTCATGGTCGCTGCTTCTTTCCCTCAGCTCACTTGACACATAACAAAAGACCAGAAACACATACGCCCCATTTCGCTTTGACATGTTGCCGCCAGTAATGGCCGTTAGGGATATGAACTTCCTGAAGATTATCGTTCTTCAAGGTTTGTCATCCATTATGAGAATGTGTGGCGGGCGGCTTTGGGTGAGATAATCGACTCCGATAAGTGCGAGATCGCACCTGCTGGGAACGTTATCCCGTCAGCATCTTCCCCACCACTGTTCACACTAATCTCGATTACCAAAATGACAAAAAGCACAATAGATTAGGTTCATCAAAGCGACGGCTGCAACCTGGCTAGGACATTTCTCATCTTTGTGGTGGTAAGTGCAGACCTGTGCAAACGTAGGATTCGTTCACCTATAAAGACAGGGACAACGTTGGAAGCGAGCGCTCAAGGTGAGAGAGCGCTCTGAAAGGACTTCTTTGGTAGTAGCCCAGTCCTGCAGGAGCGAGTGGTCGAGTGATTTATGCTGGCCTTGTTACCTTGATTTAGGCCATTATGGCAACTGTCACATTGGTCGCAATAATCCGATCAGCCACTAAGAGGATGTTGCACAACTGCACCTGCCAGCGATCACTGGGCAACCAATCCTCTAGGACGTCCATGATAAAGTCCGGAACTCCGGAAAAATCCACTCTCATCTGAGAAGGATCACACGTCACCAATTCAGCCATCGTTTCTCCATACCTGGCTACATGATACTGCTAACAAAATCCCTCTTTGGGACTAAAAACTCTACGCGTCGGCTTTTGGCAAAGCGGCCAAACCCGGGAGTGTCCGAATTAGACCATGTTGTACCTTGGGGAATTCTCAGCGGGGGGGGGGTCGTATTTGCTTGCTGTTGATAGAGGGAGGTCGTATTTGTCTTAGGAACTTGAAAAATTTGCGGCGTTAGAAAAAACTTTTCCCGGTTTTTCCCGTTTCATATGTGTTGTGTTATGAACAACCTCCCTGCTTGACAGCAAAGCATTTTTGGGAAACACTAGAGAGTTCTTGAGAAATTCCGGAACACTACAGAAAAATGATAGGAATTTGGTAAAATCTAGCAAGGGGGGGGTGCAGGGAGGGTCGCATCAGAGGAGGGAACTAGGTGGGGGGGGTTTGGAGCTCCGAAACGGCAGGACGTGCCCTGGTCCAAATTCGCTTTTTAGTTCCAATTCGGAGATAGGCACTGAGTATGATACCTCAAGGTCACACCAGAAAAAAGAAAAACCGGGAAAAGTTTTTTCTAACGCCGCAAATTTTTCAAGTTCCTAAAGACAAGGTACGAGCTGGGTGGGTATCAGGAGTATGGGATGAAAACAGATGTCTCTGGGAGATTGAAGTCATCGAAGTGGGCTGAGATGACCCTAAAAATAGTCGTTCACCCTCAAGTTGTTAGGAAATGTCTCTACAAGTTCAGATGGGTGCAGATGGTGAGGCTAGCTGCAGGAAACGGGAAAATGGTTGGTTCATATGAACGCTTATGGGAGGACCTTGTCATATGGGGTTGGTCCAGGTCCTATTGGGCTTTTCTCAGCAGTTGGAAGCCTAATAGGAGAGGCATAGGAGAGGAGTAAGTTGTCCAGCATGGTAAATCCTACTTGTTTCAAGCGCTCATTCTCTAGAGACTCCTTAAAATGGGATCGCAGACTAACCAGTACGGCACAATCTCGGTAACCGGCTCACAGCTTTGCTCGGCTCTGCCAGGCTAAGCTTTTGCTGAGGACTCTTCGGGATCGACTTACACTCATACGTCAATTGGCGGTAAAGCCTCAAGTCCTCTCAGCCGCTCCCTTTTGCCCCAAAGTTCACCATATGCCACCCAGGCATCCTATAAATGAGCCAACATTAGAAACTTCTGTTGATGGTCGTCAATGACAGGAGCGGTGAGCGTGCAGACGGGCGTTAACGAGCGACACCGGGGCCGTATAGTGCTGTGCGGACAAGAACTGAACGAGTATTTTATTGCTGCGGCGGCGTAGCAGAAGCGTATCTTATCTTCTTCGGTGTGCTGCTGTTTACGACTTGACAGCGGCTTCCTTTGGCAACTGTCACTGTAAATCTTATTTGATATTTTCGGGCCCCGTCAGAATTAAACTCTCAAACCTTCGATTCGAATCAACACACCTACCATCCTCGACTGCCGTGATGTGATGTCGTTTGAATCTTTATGACAGCAGAACGAATTCCTTGGACAATCAAAACATCCGGAAAATGATGGAATCATTTTATACCCTTTGCTTGGCACTGGTTAGCGTAACTGACCTCTTCTGAATTAGTCATACATCCCAGAGCTTCGCAGAAGGCTGAGGATTGAGGCAAGAAGTGGAAGGGAAAGCGCCATGAGCTGTGATCATCCTGGTGATTTTCCAGATTTTCCAGGATTAAAAACTTCAGAACAGCCTTGCTGGGCTAACACTGCGTCAGAAAGTCTGCATGGCAAGTCCCCATCGTCCTGAATGTGCAGTGTTGATGTTGGGGGTGCTGTCTCGCGCATTTCGCGCCTCTACCGTATTCGGTCATGATGGAAGATGCTATCGCTCTTCATTTGTCAAACCGTCCCCACTCCTTTTTACGAACCGAATCCCACTCGGGGATCTCAGCAGCCAGCAAGCGGAGTGTTAGAAGATCTTTATCGCTCAAAACTAATAATAAAACTCTTTTGAAAAAACCTTCAAAGCTGCGATCAGAGGGGGAACCTAGAACAATCCTATTTGTTCTACTCTGCACCCAGGATCTTCCAGATCTTTCTCAAAGTTGACGTGCTTCAGAATATCAGAGGTCAACAAGGAACCATGAAGTGGAAGGGAGTGGCTGCACTCGACGCGACTGACTAGGCGGATTTCGAAAACAGATAAATCAAATGCTATGAATGGATTTCAGAATGACGAATGGAATGTACTGCAGCGATTCATGAACGCACATAGATTTCAGCTTGAATCCCATGCTTCACTCGTCCGGCCTCAGTTTCGCCCTACTTTGTGCACACAAATTTTTCGCGATGAGTCCCTCTCCACAATGCTTATCATAGCAGCAAAACTGATCTAGTTTTCCTGGTCATATCTATAAAAATAACATATAAAATCAGATAAACTACCTTGAAACTGCCTGTAAAGTGTATGGAAACGTGCTGCTGCCATTTCGTCCTGGCTGGAATGCGGTCGTTTTGCTGGAAAGTTTGACACTTTGAAATATGCAGTGATTTTGAAGTGAGTTATACATTCAGTGAGTTATAAGAGGGAATGAACCCATGCTAAGGACCAAGAGCCACTGAAGTTCCAGATTTCTCTCAGTGACCCCACTCTGGCTCTCTGGTCTGCTGTCAAACAACCATGAAGATGGGAGACCTGATTGCCAGGATAGGAGAGTGCGAACTTCCAGGATGACCAAAACACGCAACTCACACAGTCCACCGTCGAGACAGAAAGTCTACCCTCTTTCGGGATGCGCCACGCATTCCTCTACCATTCAGAAAGGCGGTAGCATGTTGATTCTTATACAACAAAGGGACAGGCGATGTGCA